AAGGTTATGTTGTTATTTCTCAGACAGTTTATGGCATATTTACATTTATTCCATTGGATGTGTACAAATTGATACTTAGATCTTGGAAGCATTTATTAAATAGTTCTGAGTAGCTTTGTAATAATTTTCACTATGAGTATGCTCAGATCGGTACATAAACTTTGTGTCTTTAGACTTGTTGGTATTTGATTTTGTTTGTGCTTTGTTCGTGGCCACAGTACAGGGAACGGGACCAAATTAATCATTCGTCAACATACTTAATCCTGCCACATTCTGTTTGCGCCGATAAAAATTCAGAAGCATATAATTTAGTGGTTTTTTTTTTCCTTCATTATTTTGTACATTAGTTAGGCCGTTAGCTTTCTCGACTGAATTGTTTTACATTTGTCATTTCGGGGTCTTTTATAGCTGACAACGCGGTATGGGCTTTGCTCATTGTTGAAGGCCGTACGGTGATATAAAGTTGTTAATTTCTGTGTCATTCGGTCTATTGTGGAGAGTTTTCATAATGGCAATCATACCACATCGTCTTTTTATATGTAAGTTTTGATGAGTAAAAAACATACAAACTCATGGCTATTTTGAGGTTTACGTTGTCATCATAACAATTACAGATTAGTGAGAAAAACCAATGACTGTCTCTACGGTTTTTTTTTCGTCAATCGCACTCTTGTTAAAACACGAGCTTTGCTTCTTATGCTATTTATCGATATTTTTCTCGGTAGCGTCAATGACATTCAAGCTAGCTTATGACTTCGTTGTGTTCTCATTAGACCCAACTGAGAACAAAATCTCCTTCGAATAGATATAGATGACAAATAATAACATGGACAGATCAAACCAAATAAAAGAAAAACAGAACGATTAAACAAAAATACAAATTAACGACAATTGAACCGATGCTGATAATTTTTTCCAAATACATTTTAGTCAATACTGAAAATTGATTCAAAATCAAAAGCATCCTTTCGTAACATGGAGAAATAAATATTGAAAAACGAATAAAAAAAAAATCAAATATTGAGAAAAATAATCATTAAGTGACTACAAAACACATTAATTCATGAAAACTCAAAATACTTTTGACTTGACATTATATAGTGGAAAAAAGTATTTGACGTGTTGTTAAACCTAGATATCTAACAAATTATAAGTTTTATTGATAACGGCTTAAAATCCCTCAACTGAACAACAGTAAATTATCCCTGTTGTTTGTTCACGAGTTTAAAATATTGATATTTGAATTCTTAGATTCATTTTTATCAATACAGTGTCTTATAATGGAAATACAGAACAAAATGTAAGAAACAATGTCTTTCTTTCCGCACCAATACTTCAATTTCTTGCAACGCCGTTCACAACATTTTGCACATACCTATCGTTGCATGATTTCTTTTACTTGGATATAACTTTTTTAGCTTTTTAACAGGAAACATTTTCATTTCTAAACATGCTAACAATTATAAGTTATGAAAGTATGAAAATAATTACCTAATTTGTAAAATCATTTCTACAAGTGCATGTACGCTAAGCAATACATGTCATCAGAAAGGAAACACTTTCATATCACTCAGTGATAAAAAGTTAGTAACTGATCTGATTTAAACTCGTAAAATCTGCAATTAAACTCATATAATTGAGAACTAGCCCGTAACTGGTCTAGGTTAAAAGTGAATAATAAGCAATAACAATCATGATGATGGTGATGACTGATGACGTTTAATGTCCAGCGGAAAATTTAATGCATACGCCTATATGACGTGTGCGCTCTTTTACATCATAGATAAGTTGTAATATATTGAAAGGCTTATCAATTGACAGGAATAATAAAAAAAAGGTCATGAAATATTTTGCCCACAAAACAACTATCAATATACGAAAAGATAAAGATGTGAACCATTACAGGTCATAGTTGAACTTTCAACAGTGATCAAAACCTATACTATTTAGACATCTGTGCTAGGGAAACTCAACAAAATGTAAAATAATACAAAAGAAACATAAAAGGATCCAACGAGCCTTAATCGTCCACCTGGATAGTTTTAGTAGATCTAGCATCAATAATGTTTTGCTGTTTACAGTTTACTGTGTCTACTATTGTTTTCGAGAAAAATTGAAAGGGATGATCTGAATTAAAATCGATTTTTTTAATATGATTATTAGCCAAAATAGTGTTAATGTTATGTTTTTTTCATAAAAAAAAAGATGGATCACGAAGCTTTTTATAAAGCTACAGAATATAGGTTGTGCAAAAAATTTCAGATTGTGCATACATTAGACATTGAAAAAACTATTTTGTGTGACAGTTAGAAAACTAATCGATAGAATTTTAAGATGAAATATGATAAAATAGCTCTGTAAAGAGGTTTCAGAAAATATGAAGAAAAGTGCGTTCATGGGACTCGTTTTCTTGCTACAAATCAAAATAGGTAAATCCACAACACATTCCGTTACAAAATTTACAATATCTGAGCTATTCTACCTTATCTGATGAATTTGAAAAAAAACTTTAATTGAATGAGACAAAAACATTTTGTATTTTCAAAATAGTCCAATAATTTTAAAATAATAAGAAAACATACATTGTCCTTTAATTAAAAAAAAAAGTCTTACGAAGGAATTACATTCATCTTGTAAAATTTGCATAGTTTATTAAACATCTAATCGATTGTTGTCACTTTTTAGAATTCAAGATTGCAAAAGGCACCTATGTAAGTAAAATGTAATTGCCCAACTAATTACAAAAAGTGCATTTACTACTTTAGTTGTCATTCAATGATTTGTTTCATGATGTAGTTTTTGTAGATAATTTTTTTATAAAAATGTCTCCTATCTCAACTAGAGAGGTGATCTAGTGACCCGAACTCAGTAACTGAGAGGTGATCTTGTTACCCGCCCTCAGCAACTGAAACGCCATGATCTTCTATCATGTCAATAGTGGTCTAAAACATTGTCAAACGATTTTAATCAATTTTAAAAAGGAACTCTTCACTTATTATCCGGAAACCACATTTTTTTATACATTTTTCCAACAATCAAGTACCATAACTCTTGAAGTGTAAAATGAGACAAAATAACAAACTAAAGTTGTCTTTAGTTGTCCTTATATTCCATAGAAATGCAATTGATTTCAAAAGGCACTTCTTTCTTTATCATCTGAAACAAAACATGTGAACAATAAACCCTCGGACAAATGGAAAGACGAACTTCCAGACATGAAGATTCCTCGACTTTGCTAAGCGGGGAATAAAAACTAAGAAATAATGGATAGGAGCCATATTCTATGGACAATAACTTCCATAAGGGACAAAATGACGAATTCAGATCTTACTTTACAAAATATGTTTTGCTTTTCCTATAATAGTTTCATCAGAAAATTCAAATGTGGGTGAAAATCGTCTGTTATAGAATATTAGTTCTATAATGGATCAACTGATGATTTTAGTCGTGCTGTCACGTTTGTGGATCTGATTTTGTCAGAATATTATCTTGCAAATCAATTGTTTTGTATACAAATGCTTTTTCTTTAGATAAATCAAAATGGGCTTTATACCCCGATAGTTGATTTTGGCAATATCAGCCATGTTTAGCGATTGCTCAAATAACAAACTAAAGTTGTCTTTAGTTGTCCTTATATTCCATAGAAATGCAATTGATTTCAAAAGGCACTTCTTTCTTTATCATCTGAAAACAAAACATGTGAACAATAAACCCTCGGACAAATGGAAAGACGAACTTCCAGACATGAAGATTCCTCGACTTTGCTAAGCGGGGATGAAAACTAAGAAATAATGGATAGGAGCCATATTTTATGGACAATAACTTCCATAAGGGACAAAATGACGAATTCAGATCTTACTTTACAAAATATGTTTTGCTTTTCCTATAATAGTTTCATCAGAAAATTCAAATGTGGGTGAAAATCGTCTGTTATAGAATATTAGTTCTATAATGGATCAACTGATGATTTTAGTCGTGCTGTCACGTTTGTGGATCTGATTTTGTCAGAATATTATCTTGCAAATCAATTGTTTTGTATACAAATGCTTTTTCTTTAGTTAAATCAAAATGGGCTTTATACCCCGATAGTTGATTTTGGCAATATCAGCCATGTTTAGCGATTGCTCAAATAAACAGATGCAATGTTAATCTAGATAACCTAAGAAATATTCGGATTAAGTATTTGGATCAGTAGTTTCAGAGTGGTGAAAAAGTTTATGACGACGGACGACGGATGCCAAGTGTTGCCAATAGCTCACTTGACCCAGATGCCCCACCCGCACTATCATTTTCTATGTTCAATGGACCGTGAAATTGGGGTCTAAAATCTAATTTGGCATTAAAATTAGAAAGATCATATCATAGGGCACATGTGTACTAGGTTTCAAGTTGATTAGATTTCAACTTCATCAAAAACTACCTTGACCAAAAACTTTTAACCTGAAGCGGGACAGACGGACGAACGGACAAACGGACGGACGGACGGACTAACGGACGCAAAGACCGAAAAACATAATGCTCCTAGGTGGGGCATAAAAATCAAGAAATACATATATGGCAGAGAGGAATAACGATAATCTCTTGAGAACAGATTGCAGGTTTGAGACATGCATATAAAGTGGTTGGGCTGAACATGATGGAGAGCCACCAACCCTGTCCTTGACCTAGGACACACCACACAGTACTCCGTATCAAGGACATCAAGGTATATCGTATCGACTGTGAGATATGTATACTCCGTATAAAAATGCATCTAGAAGAGATATCAGTAGTAAATATGTATATTGTTTTATCCTAAAACATCAGTACAAATGATATATGCACATACTTAACGCTCTGTTAAATCATTCACGACTTTTCATATACTGCAATGATTTAGAGCTTTGAACATTGTAAAGTGACTTGAAGATGTCGAACTCTTAATATATTTGTATGTTGTGAGGTAGTTTCCTCATTGAGGAACACCCAAGATCTTCGTTTATTTATATCTAAAGTCAAACCTCTAACAACTGGTGTTGAACCTTTCTGCTGTGATGTTCCTGGGGTTACTTCTTGACCTTCTCTTGGCATGAAATTCTAAAACACAAAGACAAAAACTTGGTCGAATATCTTTTATATATTGCAGTCAATATTTATGAAAGTATAAGTTGATATACTGTCATGCAATATAAGATGCCCCAAAACATGTATTTAATATACTATAAAATAACACAAAAGAAGACTATGGTGAGTAAAGTCAAGTAAACTTATCTAGTAGGGTGAAATGCAATACAAGCTAGAGCGGTGATGTAGAAATCACAGATACCATAATCCGCAGCTACTGCAATATCATGATTTTGTTTATTTAAGCCGCATACTTTGAGATTTTACAGCATGTTGTAACATTTTTTTTTTTATAGTTAAAAGGCAGTGTATATGTTTAAACTTTCCTGTATGACTTCAATTTTTGCTAAGAACAATTCTATCATGTCTATATTAATGATGAAAATAGTATAGTGCTGTGATAAACATAAAAACAGATCGTATCTGAATGTTGTAATTTTTTAAATTTCAATTTGAGTCAGGAACTGACCTGAATCATTATGACATACAAAGAGAAAGTATTTATATCCATTATGAGCGGAGTGAAAAAGTAAATTATAATGATTAAGGGGTATAACTGTGGTCATTTAAAAATAAGTTTTCGAAGGACAATGCTGCTGTTTAGGGTCCAAAACATTCCATTAAAATTTCAATCAATTTTAAAAATGGATTCTCAAGAAACAACAAAATTAAGAATTAAGTGCCATCAATCTTGAACGGTAAAAATGAAAACGACGACAATTGTACTTAACTGCTACTGAGTGATACAAATCAGTCCATGAACATTCTAATCAATTTAACAAAAGAGTTCTAAACAAGGTATGACCAACACCCCCAACAAATAGAATTTTTACAACATTGATGGACAATAACTCTGGAACGGTAAAAGTGAAAACGACGATAACTTAACACCACCTGTGTATAATGGTCCAAACGCAATAGTTCTCCATTTACAATCTGGAAACCAATGAAGAAATATGAATCTAGAACGGTTAAGGAGAACACAATTAAATTCAATTTAAACCTCTGTTAAAATTTCATAAATATATCGAAAGGGTTTTCCTTTTTCTTTATCTAAAAAATTAAAAAAAAAGAACTTTTCCCAAAATCAAGTACCATAACTCTAGATTGGTAGAAGTGAAAACGACGACATCCAAACATACTCTGTGTGTAGTAAACTAAATCTTTCTATTAAAATGTCAATCAATTAAAAAAGGGGTTCTCCATTTATTATCCGGAAACCACAAATTTGTATCCTTGTAAAATCACTCTTAATCTATAAAAGTGAACTCGACGAAAATTAAAATAAAGCTGTGTTAAGAGCTCAAAACGAATAAAATATTTCAATTAATTTAAAAATGGTCTTCTCTATTCATTTTCCGGAAAATAACAAACAGAAACCCTACAATAAAAAACGTGAATCAACGAAAATCGTTCTCAATGCTAGTACAACTGCATACCAACTAAGCATGCATATTCCCATACAAGTATATAATTAACTTGTTCACAAAACTTTTAAAAAATGTTGGTGTCGCCTACGGCAATACGGGTTACAGAAAATATAAGTCTCGTCTCTGTCTCTTTCTCGAGACGAGACAAGAAAACCAGATAAGTTATACAGTGACTTGCCTTTCCGAAGGATAACATATTTTTTTTCAGCTGTTAAAGGTACATACATCGTATGCAATTTTATATTGATATACATTTTTTATTTCAATATTTAGATGTAAATTGACTACATTAATGTGTTACATAGCATCTTATATATGACCTATCCGTTCCATTATATAAATAAACCCAGTCAACAGACTAACAGTGGGCCAACGTTGGCAAATTGTCGGTCCGTTGGTCGACCGTTGGTGTTGGCTGCACAACATTGGCCCAACGTTGGCAAACTGTCGGTCCGTTGGTCACATGTTGATGTTGGCTGCACAACATTGGCCCAACGTTGGCCTCTTGTTGTAAATCCATACTATTATCTCATGATGGCTATAAATAATCGGGACAACGTTGGCATTATGTTTGTAGCAACATAGGGCCGATATGAAACTTTATTAATAAATATTGATTATGAAACATTTTACGCTTTATTTCTCTTGGGGGCGGATACATTCCATTGCTGCATGCTTTATGAAAAGTTAATGTTATACCGAAAGTGTTCTTCAACTGAAATTACATTTACAACTCTATGTTGGGCCAATGCTGGGCCAACGTTGAACCTATATTATACTCTATATATAAGCCAGGTAAATTTTATACTGGAATATCATTACTGTAATAAAAAAAAATGTATATCGTAAACATAGATAGCCTGGTTAAAAGTTTAGATTTATTGCAATCATTATTCATTATAACTTTATTCATTAAATTTTGTGAAACATAATAATTTAGCAATTATATACAGAGTGATATTTGATACAGCCAGTCTGTTAATCAAGCACATTCTGATAAGGTTGACCACATGTTAGACAAATTTCAAAGATACAGATGGGTGCAGTCCTAACCTGTACAGCAAGTTAACTTGATAACCATGGTCAAAGTTAACCTGTGACCGGATTTAGGACTGCTCTGACCAGTCCTAGGACCATAATCTAGTTAACTTGAAAAGCGGACTTGGTCCTAGGACTGTTTTTATGTCTGCCAAAAAGTTAACTTGGAAACAGGTCCGCTATTGATATAAGTTAACTTCGAACCAGTCCTGTCATAAGTTTACATAAGTTAACTTCGAAACCGGTCCTGCCCTAAAGTTAACATAAGTTAACTTCGAAACCAGTCCTGCCACAAAGTTAACATAAGTTAACTTTTGCTTTGACAAATCCGATCGAAACCAGACCTGTTCCCAAGTTAACTTTTGACTGGTCTGCTCAACACTAAGTTAACTTGTAACCAGGACCGCTCTACATCGATTTTTTAAAAATATTTTTTAATATCTTTGTTTCGTAGTATAAACATCGAAAATAAAGTAAAATTAGTACTTCCGTTATTTTATAAACAGGATTAAATATAAATATTTGAAAATAAAGTACACATAAAACGTTGCTTGTAACACAAATTTATCTGTGATCTGCCAATCTATAAATTAAAAAACGATCTTGGTTACATTGATAACGGGCACTGAATATATATATTCCAATACCTATCATATTCAACCATATTAGCACTTTATTATGTATATCTATGAAAGGACGTATATTAGATGTTAGTTATACGTCCTTGTTAGTTATATGTCATTGTTAGTTAAACGTCCTTGATCTATGTAGCCACAATCAGCAATATTTTAATTTCAGGATTGAATTTATTATACAAAATGAAAGCATCATTTACACACATGACTACAAATTTTTGTTCGCATAAATTTAGGGTGCCAGCATGTCCTCCTTTTATTCAAAATATTGATACGTAACAAAATTTCAGTAGTTTTGATACCTCATGCTGACTTGTACAACAAAATTATTTGACCTCATCGACCAAAACAGACCATATGTGCACTTTAATTTGTAAATCTTTATATCCACATATTAAATCAGCCACATTTTTTATGTCAGGATTCAATGTGTAATACAATGGACAGCAATATTGCAATACAATAACAACAAATTTTTATTCGCAAAAATTTAGGGTGCCAGCATGTCCACCTTTTATTCAAAATATGGATATGTAACAAAATTTCAGTAGTTTTGATACCTCATGCTGACTTGTACAACAAAATTATTTGACCGCATCGACCAAAACTGACCATATGTGCACTTTAACTTGTAAATCTATATACCCACATATTAAATCAGCCACATTTTTTATGTCAAGATTTAATGTGTAATACAATGGACAGCAATATTGCAATACAATAACAACAAATTTTTGTTCGCATAAATTAAGGTTGCCAGCTTGTCCTCCTTTTATTCAAAATATTGATACGTAGCAAAATTTCAGTAGTTTTGAAACCTCATGCTGACTTGTACAACAAAATTATTTGACCGCATCGACCAAAACTGACCATATGTGCACTTTAATTTGTAAATCTATGTACCGGCATAGTAAATCAGCCATATTTTTTATGTCAGGATTCAATGTATAATACAATGGACAGCAATATTGCAATACAATAACAACAAATTTTTGTTCGCATAAATTCAGGGTGCCAGCATGTCCTCCTTTTATTTAAAATATTGATACGTAACAAAATTTCAGTAGTTTTGATACCTTATGATGACTTGTACAACAAAATTATTTGACCGCATCGACCAAAACTGACCATATGTGCACTTTAATTTGTAAATCTATATACCCGCATAGTAAATCAGCCATATTTCTTATGTCAGGATCCAATGTATAATACAACATGTACAATGGACAGCAATATTGCAATACAATAACAACACATTTTTGTTCGCATAAATTTGGGGTGCCAGCATGTCCTCCTTTTATTCAAAATATTGATACGTAACAAAATTTCATTAGTTTTGATACCTCATGCTGACTTGTACATGTTGTACAACAAAATTATTTGACCGTTTCAACCAAAACTGACCATATGAGCACTTTAATTTGTAAATCTATGTACCCGCATAGTATTGTACCTAGCGCCTTTATGTCTTCTCCTGGGGCTCCTGTGCACATTTTAGTAGGACCGCAAATGTAAGCAATAATATTGGAAAACAATTAATGCAAATTTTTTTCGCATAAATTGAGAGTGTCAGCATTTCATCTCTGTATTCATAATATTGAACAGTCACTAGAGATAGTAGTTCAGGATGGCGTGTAAAACAAAACTATTAGGCCGCACCATCCAAGTACCAACACTGACATGTCTGAATGTATGTCGGTTGATTGATTTTGGTTGTAGTTAAACGTCAAGTGGCAACTATTTCATTCAAGTGCACATTGAGTATAATTTTGGGATTAATCGGCAAACATGACAAAGACATTTTGAATCTCTCGACAAATCTGACGAATTTGACGAGATTGTTGATAGTTTTACCACACCGTACTATGTATCCGGACACTGTACAATTATCGTTAGAATATTCTGTGGAAAATAGAATAGTAAATCCAATGCAAACAAGTTGAATAACAAAGAAATATCCATGCATGTATAAATGCATAAAGTAAAATTTAGAAAGAGACAGGCTAAAAACGGGGAACGAATCAACGTCGACAATGATGTTGATATCCCATGATATAAGAATATTGTTCCGATGCGTTGGATAACCTTTTTATCCGCCTTCTAATAAAAAAAAACAACTCTCATTTCCTTTATGATAGCTCTATTTTATTGTATAGCCATTGTTTTATGTATATAAGAATATATCAAATAAAAAAATGAATTTTGTATAATATCTAGTGAGTCTAGCGAGTAAAGAAATTTGCTATCTGGGGAAAAACAATGCGAATGTTGTTTACATATTTTAATTAAAGCTCAAGTCTGATATGAACACTCTTAAACACGATAATCTGTCATAAGCAGACAGGTCTGGTCAATAGAAGACTTGTCCACAGGTCTGGTCAGAAGCAGACCTGTCCACAGGTCTGGTCAGGAGCAGACCTGACCACAGGTCTGGTCTGGGGCAGACCTGTCCTCAGGACTGGTTAAAAGAAGACTTGTCCACAGGTCTGGTCTGGAGCAGACTTGTCGATAGGTCTGCAGCAGTCCTAAAAAAGCAGACCGTAGGTCTGGTCCACCAACGACGAAGTTAACTTGCTTGTCTGCTTAAAAATTCTCAAGTTGACTTAGAAAGCAGTCAACAAGTCTGCTCCAAGTTAACTTTTGTCAAGGTTAGGACCGCACCCATCTGTAGTTGCTATGGTAATTAAGTTTATAGGAAATCTGAATGTAATGGGATGGTCACTTTTGCGGTTATTTCCTGTTATGTATTTGTAAGAAAGCAGTGAAACGACGAAAACAAAAAGAGAAAATCATATCATCTGAGGTTCAAAGAGAAAATAAGTAACATGTAAGTTGTAACTTTAAAAATTCTGATATATATACGATTATGAATAACAAATACAATATGATTTTTTAATCTGAGGGATGTTGTTCAAAATTAAAACATATAATTTCTATCATTTTATAATGTTGATCTTGAAGTCTATACTTTTTTGGCGAAATATTTTCTATATTTTGTTTAAACCATTTCAATTCTAAATAATCATGAAATATTTGCCACTGAAAATTAGTATCATCAAACAAATTGTAAAATACCAATATTTTAATTTTTTTTTTCTGAAATCTATAACGATTGCATTTATAACCATTACTGAATTTTATGGAAAAAAATCTGTCTTAAGATGTACCTTGTTCCGTAATGTTTCAGAAATGTGGTATAATGATTTCTACTTCATAGACATATAAATGAATTTGTTAGTTTTATTATTTCTAAATCGCATGCAAATATGTACGATATATTTGTGAAACCTGATCATATACACACTTGCATGTGTAACAGTGTTTTAGATATCAAATAGAGTATGTATTTCTTAATCTTATTAAATTCATTGCAAGAATGATGTAATTTATACATAACTATACGGACTCGACTGAATTTAGGTTTTTGTCCTCGGCAAAACTTTTGCAAACAAAACCGATATTTGAATAGTTTGTAGGAGAAATATCAGTCACAAAAAGCTGACGCTTGAAATATAAAAAATAGGGGGGGGTGTAAAAAAAAAGGACTATACCACACATAAGGATATTTTTAAAAGAAAAAGACTATAAAGAGATTACTTGAAGTAGCTTTTCTTTTTAATATACAATTTTACATTTTAATATAAATTTATAGGTCAGGTATTTGAATACTACAGAAGACAAAATAAATCAGAGTGCAAAAGGAATAATACAAAGCTAGAAATAATAGGAATTATTGACATCATCCTTGCTAAAAAACACATTGGAATGGAGATGGGAAAAAATGCATTCTACCATTTGATAGCCCAGAATGAATAACTTTAAGAAAGTAAGTAAACATAATAGCCATCCTTTATGCTACATCAGATTCGAATTTAACAGAAATATATGCATAAAATGTTTAATACTACCGTTAATGCTAGTGTATTTAGATTTGACTTTGTATTTTTTTTTCAACTAGTTTTATTTATTTACTTAGAACTTTTTTTGACAAAGTTTCCTCCTGTATCCATTTCTACACTCAATTGTCCTGCTTAACCTAGTTAGCGAGGCGAAATCTAACCATTATGGTAAAGTATGCAATATGTCTTTTGCCTTGGCTTGTTTAGGCTAGGGAAAATATAAAAAAAAGAGTATTTTTTCTAACGATTGTAACGTGCCATGACACCGGAAACAGTGTATTTCTTTGTCTTTTTGTTTATTTTTTAGGAGGATTAAATATCTTCTAAATATACATATATTGAGTACTCATTTATTCATTACTTTATTACAGAGGCAGTGAAATAACTTTTATGAAGATATGCTAAACTGGATAAAGGATTTAACATAAGACGGAGCCAGAAATAGTGACAAAACAAAGTGTAGCAGAAAACAAAAGGAACACTCTTGTGAATAAAAACCATGTTGGAATACAGAACTAGAAAAATAGCTGTATAAAATGAAATATCAATGCCTTCATACAGAGCTTGGATATTGCAACATAAACTGTAATGATATTATACAAATGGGATAAATGAATTATCATGAATAGACTTTATAATTTTCATTCTAGATCTGATTTAGCAACGTATAGATACAAAAAAGATTTTTTAAACTTTGCTGGTTGTCTAGCTAATAATAAATTATATTTAATCATACCTTTGTATTTACATTATTTAAAAAAATAGGTAACATGGATATGTTGATTGATTTCATTCAAATATGGGTAAAATTCGGAAGTACAACTCCTAGAGAGATATTGATTGGTTGTTGGTTACTGAAACGTTCATTGGCAAATATTTCATGCATGTTCAGGAAGATGGAGAGAAAGTGACAAAATACAGAATTTTCGGGTAGTATGTAAGACACAACATGGTATAGTGGATCTGTAAAACGCAATAATTGGAACATTTAAAAAAAGTAATACTTTCGCCATTTTGAACTGATGTAAGATCCAGGAATTATTGCAGTTGTTGCCTGGAAGGGATTTTAGTATCCCTATATTGATAGAAAATTTTACAGATTGAACCAACGGAGTGCCAACGTTTGTTAACAGTTTGTATTACTACGTTGGCCCAACGTTTGTTCAACATCGACAAGTATTATTCCATCATTGGACCAACGTTGGTCCAATGTATTGTATAAAACCTTACAACGTTGTGCCAACGTTTAACCATCACGTTGGGCCAACATAGGGTCACTTTGCAGTTATACATTGGGCCAACGTTTAAAAACAACGTTGGACCAATGCATGTAGATACGTTGGACCAACGTTGTGCCAACGTTCCAATGTTGTCTGGGAATGCGGGTTACTATTTATAAAAATAGAAACAAAGAATTAGTGACAATTTTAGGATTTTTTATTCATGGAACATTTCTCCTGTGAGTCCGGGTAAATTATTGACATGAACATTAAACGTCTGAAAAAAACCGTGTACAATGACGTTTTTGTTTGCTGCCAGAGATCTAATATGACCATGTGACTTTAAATTATGTTTCTACAATGCAGTAAACGAATTGTAATTTTATCAAATGTTTAATTAGTATTTGGACTTATAAATGTTATAGCACTGTTTCTTGAAAAAGACGTCATATACATGTACATATTACATTACTTGCAAGTCACCGTATTGTAAATTTGTCAAACCGAGCAAGTTGCCGTAAGCTAGGCTTGATTCGTTTTCACCTCTATCGTTAGAAATCTTTAATCACACTGTCATCATCTTAAAAGTGTCTGGGAAATGAGTGTAAAAGTAGTTTACTATCTAGCCAGCGGGGCGTCAGAGGACGATCGGTTTTCATGTACTCTGTGCACAATTTGGAGTATGATACAAAATCTTTATTTTTTTTTGGTACGTATTGGCATACAAAGCAATTTTCGTTATTCTGTAAATTCTTATTTTGTTTTGCTTTTGTATATTATAACGATTGTGATTCTAATTATAGATAAGAACAGTAGAGCTATTAGTTTTACTACTATTTTTTCAACAAATATGTCTAAAGATAACAAAAAGAATTAAAAACTAGCTTGTAATTTGCAATACAATATTATTTTGTCGAATTTTCCTTCATTAGTATAATTTTGAAGTTACAAAAATAGAAGTTCACTGACCCTTGTTCAATGTTCTGCGTTTTCTTATTCGGTGTCAGTCGTTCTCGTAGAAACTCCGACGCAAATACAGATTGAAATCAATAGATTGAAAATGGGTTTTGTACTGCATACATATCGTGTAAATTATTCAACATTTCATTTAATATTATTTCATGCTTTGACAAATAGTTAAAGAACAAAGAACTAAGCGAGGAAAAAGGGGGAGGGGGTTGGTCAAGGCAGGAAATATTGTGAAATAGAGTTAAAATGATATATCAGTTCAAGTTTTTTTTTTACCAGTAAAGGCAAATTATGATGTATATTTTATTTTTTTTTCTATTTAATCTTGATTGATATACTGCTATCGAAAACTAAATAAAAAGGTAAGGGTTAATTAAAAGTTTGGAACCTCATCAATAGCCGTCGTATGACATATCTTTAAGTTTTCTGCTATTTTAGAAATTGAGTGTAGATCGAAGATTGTTTCTTTTGTTCTGTTCTGTTTTTTGGTTTGTTTTTTTTTTGTTTTTTGCAGACTTTACCGTTCATTTGTTCTTATACCGAATATGCATAATGTAATTGGCGTTGAATGTTAAACAGGAAACAAGCAATTGATTATTCATTATTCTCTGCAAGATTAGAATAATTTGTACTTGCACAGTAATTATCTTTTTGTTTGCTTTCTTCCTAAATTTGTAGATTTGTTTGTCCGAAATAGTTTGTAATATGTTGATAAAATCCCGCAAGAGTGTTCTTTAAACATGTTAAAGCAAAAATATATCATTATCTAAATTGCTAGGGAAATTGCAATTGAAAGATTATAATCTGTTTTGATCTATATATAGATGTATACTAGTTTCTGACGAAAAAGGGCTTATTTGATGGGATCGATGAACATAACACATCGTAAGAATTGTATATCGAGTGGGGTTATGTATCGTAGGAACAAGAAATTCTGTTTACTTACTGTTTTTTTTTTAAATGCATCCGGACTCACATCAAATAAGAATCCAGGATTTTTAAAATGACAGGGGGCTAGGCAATATTAGGAGTGGGACATTTAAAAAATATTTGCATTAACAATTTATTTAGCTTCGTAAAGGGGGACTCTTAGCCTTATTAACTCTTTGTACATGCTTCCTCAACTATGTATATATGTACATTTCATTTTCAGCCTACAATTCAGTTACTGGCCTAATGTCGGTTGGAATTTGTTTTCTCAATTTCTCGCATTTATCAGTGGGATCATACATATGCCCCATCGCATTCGAATCAAAGTTAATTATATCAATAACTTTCAGTGAAATTTTCAGCATAGTTGCAAAATATAAATAATCAATAAATAAACGTGCACTGAGCAGAAGGGTAAAAAAAGTCTCTTTAACTTGTATGTACTTAGGCTAGTACTATTAACGACTTTTTTCTCATTACTATTTATGGGATGAACACAATTGCTGAATTACTATTATTCTATTATTCATGAATTTTAATAAACGCAGTAAATGTCTACTACATGATTAAATGTACATGCATATGCGAATTTAACGTCATGTGTAAGGGAAATGTGATATTGAAGAATAACATATAAAGGATTTGTTTAATTTTATTTTACAATTACTTAGTTTTGTCCGTATCGACATATGCAAGAATAAAATCATGATAACAGCAAAATGAAATGTGATATATTTGAAATCGATATTGCCTAACTTGTTTAAAATCTAAGTAATGGTAAAACGAACGCATCTGAGGTACTAAGTTCTGGATTTAAAGAAGTACTTTATACCTCACACGGAAAAGCAAACCTTATAAAACGAATAGTAACTGGTGTCATCATATTGTATCTTAGCATTTATACTCGCATTGAAGTTATGCACTAAATGCCAATTGATAATTGATTGTGTTCTTAATTTCTATACGTATTTGTTTGTCACGAATAATCCTAATGTGAAGACAATATATGAAGACAGAAATTCTATAAGACTATGCAAAGGGGATACCAATGCTCCCTAACTCAACGATAACATTGACAGCTGGTGCATATTAAATCCCACATTATATATACTTTATAAAATGGTACTTCTTATAGTTGGTTATACTTCAAAATAGATAACCGCGATGTCTACTGAAGGATTTTTTTCTATTTGGATGTTTAATCATGTACCCTCAAATTATCGGCCTTCAAATAAAATGTCATATTGTTTTGGACTTTTGAAACATTTGTTTTACCACTGTGTTGTAAAATAAAATACGATTTCCTTCTATTGTTAACTTCAGCGACTGTTTTCTAAAACGCGTTCCAAAGGCTGCAAATACTGACTTCGATAGTTTAAGCAGTTAAAACGTACACATAAACCAGCATTTTTTTATTTTTTTTTGTCATTAAAAAGTACGTCCGCATTTGTGGATCGACAAATCATTTACTATTAACTTTAAATCGTTATTCCCTACTCGTTGGCTGAAGTATAAAATAAGTCAACGATTTGAAGATGGTTATTCTTTAAACTTGTTCTCAATAATCAAATCAAAAGTATGACCACATATTTTATGATGACACATGTACGTAGCGTTACGTGGATATTATAATTTCATGGAATCGAAATCAGACAAAATCAGAACCATTCTAATAAGATTGAAAGGAATATTGCAGGTATACGGTAAATACATTCATTCGTTTTAGGTCTTTTGTTGACGGGAGGTACAAATAGAACGGGACTTTATTTCCAAGATTATGTATATATATCCCTGCACCAAGGAAATAGTTTTTTTTGTGAATACGTATCAATGCTACAGGTGCCTTTTGTAAAGAAGCTATATTTTCATAATTTGTAATCGTCAAGACAGAACGAATACAATCACGCGACTAAATGGGGTTTTTAAAATAATCTACGTATTATTATAAAATGATGAGCTTTAGAAGCTTTTCACATCCCTAATAAATGCAGGATGTTGGACCTTTGTAGGCAAGGGTATTTTAATCCCAAAAAAAGTCCGACTACTTGTTAAGAACATTCTATATCCGAGAAGGTGACATTTATTCCTAGCGTAAACCGTAAAATTTATGCCTGCCACTGGAATGTGCTATACAGATGTTTTGCTACTTACTTTCTTAAATAGATATTCTACTACGGTTAAAAGGAATGTTTGCACATGCCTGTGGATGTTAAGAATTTATGTTAAAAACTTGGTATTTTGTGCCGTTTTCCTAGTCCTTTCATCACGTCATGGAACGTTAACGTGATTCGTGCTTTTTGTCGAACATTGTAGTTTTCCTATAATTATGCACTAAGTTACAACTATCATATTGGGCCGGTTTGGATCTTTATATATCCCCTACTTCTTTATAAATACCGAGTCTATTTTTTAATGCTGTATGTTGCCCTCTTGGTGTCTACTTTGGTTATTTTTGCGGTTGCATTGCTGCATCATTGACGTTTACCCAAAATTAGGCGCAATGCCTCAAAATGTTTATTTGATAGCCGAACAGTTGAAGTGATAAGAATCAATATTTATCTACCCTCCTATTCACTTTTGGAAATATAAAAAACCGTGTATATCTAATATTAGGCCAGCATGCATGGTTTTTTTTACATACACGGTTAATAGTAGAGTTACGTTCATTTTAAAAAAATCAAAACGGTGTTGTTGTCAAATTAACATACATTGTAAAAATACAAAGTTATAATGTCTCATGCTTCATCACTAAATAATTCAAAAGCTGGTGACTATGTTGAACGCATCTATCCCGTCAAACTTGCGATAAAGGATATAACAGATACAGTTAATGGCTTATATCTTGACTTACATCTAGAAATATGACAATGAGGATCGGTTGAAAACAAAATTTAACGGCGAAATAGTTGAGTTTAGCTTCCAAATTGTGAACTTTCCATTTCTATGTAGCAACAGTCCAGCAGCGCCTGCATACTGAGTATATACATTTTGTATCTCCCAGTTGCTCATAATACACATAATAGGTAACATTTGTTATAACATCATAATATACATGTAGATGAGAAAATAAGTACTCTCAGAATATCTCGCAATTTTGAAAAAAAAATTTCTAATCAGAACGTAGTGGTTATACAAGACTTACAAAATGAATTAAAGACTGAATGAATATCAACTGATTTAGAATTAACACACGTTGGGTGCAAATTATACGATTAAGAATGAATGAACGTTGAGCATACTTTACACGATTAAGAATGAATGAACGTTGAGCATACTTTACACGATTAAGAATGAATGAACGTTGAGCGCAAGTTGAATGGAAAACACACGGAATGATGAACGATGAGCGACCGCACGTTGAATGAACGATGAATGAACGGAACATGTACGCAGAATGGACGATGAATGATGAATGCACAGAAAAATAGGTCAGTTTAAATTTTATAAGGTCGGTATCTGCCAATTGATACGGTATTCCAGGGCTTGAATTTCCTATCATGCTTTCCTTGATAGAGGTTTACTGCTCACAAGGAAGCTATTAAACCAAGAGTTCCAAATAGTGAAGTTGAAATCACCCCTTCGTAAATTTTACGGACGCCAATCACAAGTTGGGTGACCGTTATGGAATATCCGTTCCACAGATGACAGCAGATATGTTCGAAATGTCGTAACTACAATCCCTTCCCCTTTCCCCGAATGAAACCTACCAAATAAGACTTATTACCATGTATGTACTAACTTGAGCAACACGACAGGTGCCACATGTGGAGCAGGATCTGCTTACACTTCCGGATTACCTGAGATCACCCTAAGTTTTGGTGAGGTTTGTGTTTCTCAGTCTTTTGTTTTCTATGTTGTGTTTTTTGTACTATTGTTTGTGTGTTTGTCTTTTTCTTTTTAGCCATGGCGTTGTCAGCTTATGTTTGACTTATGAGTTTGAATGTCCCTTTGGTATCTTTCGCCTCTCTTTTGAGGCAAAAATAAACAGTTCTTAAAGACGCTGAATTTCTCGTGTAAATAATTGAATGTTCTGTTAAATGTTGTGTTAACATTGTCATGATTATGATATCATGGTTTACAACTACGTCTAAATTCCCCATATTGAAAAATTATTGTCAGTAAGATAAATTACTTACACAGCGTGCTGGTAACTTATTACGATATATACGGGTTAAGTAAGTTCCATTTGAGCGAGAGCTTCGCTCGCTTTCGCACGTATATACCGAATTAGTTAACTAGAAACTGGTGTAACTAATATTATCTTACCTCAAATAAACTTTTTTGGAATGTCATTAGTTAAAAGAGAACACATGGAAACCGTGTATATTAAATATAAGGTCAGTGTACGTGTTTTTTTGTTTTTGTTTTTGTTTTTTTAAATACACGGTTAGTAGTACTAGTAGTTTGTAGTAGAGTTACTTTCCTTTACAAAAACAATTTAACATAAACTGTTAACATACATATTTATAATATTTCAAGCTTTAAGACAAAACATGTCTTAGCATGCTCAGAGAGACTGACTTTCATTGATACTGTACTGATCACTGTAACATGTTACAACTTAAACATATTGATAATTTATTTTTAAAACTACGTCTTAATTCCCACTTTTAGGTGGTCGGCCAGATAAATTCGTTACACAGTGTGAAAGTGGCTTGATATGATATATACGCTATACGAAGCGACTTCACCGAAAATTAAACGCTTTTCAACTGAATTAATATAATCGTTATCCCTTAAAATCATATAACAATTAAAAAAAGAATATGTGGACTTATAGATAAGAAAAGGTTGCTAAATTCATGTAAAAGTGTCTGCTGATTTTTGTAATAGTCCATGCATATATACAATTTTCAACATTTCGTATCTCAAAAGCTAAAACAGTTACCCTTTTTCTAAGAAATATTTTCAGGTGTAATTGTGAAGACGCTATTCAAATGTGAAATTAAAAAAAAACCTATGGAGTAGTTAATTACATACTCTTTATATATGTATGTCTTTTTTCGCGTGTTCATTGATCCCTGATAGCATGCTTTCCAAAATAAAGACTAGCACAGGAATCCTTCATATTTATTATATATCATTAACTTTTTCCTCATGTATACTGATTCAATGTCATATTTGTTTTCCTGTATCTTGCTATGTTGATGGTATTAAGATTATACAGATAAAGGATTCTGCCACAAGATTCGATATTTTTTCTCTTATTTTCGTCCCATGTCTCAATGAACATTAATTTCAAAACAACATGTTCATCTATCATATAACATATACTTTATTGTTGATGAACTATAAATGATTAAAATAAATATGTACCTGCAAGTAATCTACCACTTCTTCACTCTTTTCATAAATGCTTTCTGCTGCAAGGTCATATGGGGTCTCATCCTGAATTAGAGAACAATATAAATTTTATGAAATGTTAACCTTTATGAAAATAAAAATCATATTCTATAATCTTTTTTTCCAGCGGCTGGATTATACACGATTTCTCTGAATTAACAGACAATTCATTATAATATTTTTTAATGAAAAATGGTCAGCTTCACAACACAAGTCTTACTATATATAAACCTTTAAATCGCTGATTGGTCATACAATGTATGAAGTCGGGAATAAACAAATCAGTACTTATCGTATGTATGCCAATATATATATATATATTTATAATGCCTATTTATATTGATAAGCCTATTTATATTTATAAAGTCTATAATATAAAAATAAGGAGATGTGGTATGATTGCCACTGATACAACTATCCACCAAAGTTCAAATGAAGTGAATGTAAGCAATTATAGGCAACCGCACGACCTTCAACAATGTGAAAAACCCATACCGTATAGTCGGCTATAAAAGGCCCCGACATGAAAAATATGAAATGTTTTTTTTTATCAATAAAGCCTATTTATATTCATAATGCCTATTTGTATTTACAATGTATATTTATATTTATAATGCATGTTTTTGTTTATATGAATAATGCCAATCTAACAATATATCCAATCCAACGTGGTCTTGCTGATGACAGACAATACGGGGTCTCACCTTGAATTACAGACAATACAATATAACATTTTAATGAATAAAATTGAGAATGAAAATGGAAATGGGGAATGTGTCAAAGAGACAACAACCCGACCATAGAGTAGGCAACAGCCGAAGGCCACCAATGGGTCTTCAATGCAGCGAGAAACTCCCGCACCCGGAGGCGTCCTTCAGCTGGACCCTAAACAAATATGTATACTAGTTCAGTGATAATGGACGTCATATTAAACTCCAAATTATACACAGGAAACTAAAATTAAAAATGATGCATATATCTTTTAAAGGATAATAAGTATATTTTATAAACTATTTTCTACTGCTGTATTTTACAAGATTTCTCTGAATTAACAAACAAGTCATTGTTATATTGTTTCTTGAAAAAGGATAAGCTTCATAACAGAAGTTCTTCTATACTAGTCAACAAAAGTAACAATACACAAGTTTGAACTCCAATTTATCATAAAATATAATAAATGGGAAAAACTGTTAAATTATCCAATGAAAAACATTCATTTGCAAAGCAAATGCATATGACTAAAAGAATCTGACCAAATTGGAAAGAGAGAAAATACCGTGTTATTGAACACAGCGGTCAAATCTATTTTGCGGAAAATGATGACAAAAGTCGGCACTTAATTTCGAAGATGAGAATAAAGTATTCAAATATCTTCAAAGGAATTCGAAATTTTAAGCAGACCATGTGTAAGTTTAAAGTTTTAATTTCTAATATCGATTTTAGAATTTTGAGTGAAAAAACGATTTTTGAAATAACAAAAATACCAACAACAAAAAATTCGCGTATTTGCCTTAAATCAATGGTTTTGATAAGAAAATAACAGTCTGTAAATATTAGACCAATTGGGCAATTATTTACCTTGATACAGTGTATCCAATTTCATTATATATGGAAAAAACATTGCCTTATATCGTTTCTTTTGTTGACTAGTATACATGGTATATATATATATATAAACCTTGAAATTGTTGTTCGGTCATATAAAGTATATGCATATTTATATTTATAATGCCTATTAGTATTGATGATGCCTATTTATATTTATAATGCCTATTTATATATATAATGCCTGCTCATATTTATAATGCCAATCTATATTCATAATGCCTATGTATATTTGCAATGCCTGTTTATATTTGTAATGCCTGTTTATATTTACAATGCATGCGTGTTTTTATATTTATGTAGCCAATATTAGTATAGATATCCCATCCTCTGCTGAAGCATTACGATGAAATACAGATAATTCAGAATTCACTTAATAAACCTCTATTCTACCTCTCTCTTTATAACTGTACTGGGTATATTCAGAGATGTGTGCGGTGCATCTATCGACACAATAACAATTGATAGGGAAGGAAAAGAGACTATCAATGTACAAATTGTACATAAGTTCAAAGTGTCTTCTAACAATTAATGTCAAATCTACAGGTTACCTCTGATAACAAGTCTTAGAGTCCACACGCAGACATTCAAGCCTGCTTTACTTGTCATGATTTAATTTATGTTGCATGTCTTTTAAAATAAGTATGGTTGATTAAAATTATATATGAAACAAGAAATTGAGATCAAGGTCAGATGACAGTCATGTTTACCTTACAATCATACCATACATCAAACAGAGTTATTATTTTGCTTATGCTTTCTGAGAAACAGACATAACTATAAAACCAAACGTTTACCAATGAACCATTTTAATGAGGTCAAGGTCAAATGAACCCTGTCAGACAGACTTGTACACCTTACACTCATCACAGGCACCAGATTCAGTTTAACAATTGCTTATAATATCGGATAAACGGACTAAACCTCAAAAATCTTTACATCGACCAATGAAACATGAAAGTGAAGTCAAGGTCAGATGAAACCTGATAGATAGACTTGTACAGCTTTAAATAATTCAATACGCCAAATATAGATGACATATTGCTTAAAGTAACTGTGAAACAGACCCAACCACAAAAACTCAACGTTGACAAATGAACCCAGAACACGAGGTAATTATCAGTTGAAACATGCCAGTTGGACGTAGACACTCCACAATTTTGCATAGACCAGATAAAATTTAGTTGATGCTTATAATATCTGAAATATGGATTTATAATAAATGTGATGTTCACATGACAAAAACACTAAACAGTTTTAAGCCGTCGCTGACCATACGAATTAAGTCATGGACAAAAGACCATGACAGAAGACACTGAGTAACATAAGGCATCTGTAAACAATATCTTAAGCATCTAGGTCTCTTCCCTTCTGAAATAAAAAAAAACTTTATACAAATAGTTTACGCCGCCGCATGATTATCATCCCTATGTTTAACATTCTGCTTCTTTCATCGCAGTCGACATGCTGATTACCTATATTGCACGGTTGTCCCATTCATGTAATCAACATCTCTTTTTTGCAAGAGGCATTGCTCCTTAATTATATTTTTCGCAAAGAACTTTTTACTATAAAGTTTTAGTATGAATTTAAGAAAAAAATAAGTGAAAAAAAATGTAAGGGAGAGAGTGTTACTGTGCCATTGCCGTGAAAATCACATTTCTAACGAACATAGTTCGTGCTAAGATCGTAAGGTTGGCATTGATTTTCGAACTCGTCTATGACATTACTTATGTGAACATCTGATATGGATGTATATACAAATTGTATTAAAAAGACGGCATAACATTATATATAAATATAAGAAGTTTTCTAATGAAATCCCCTAGTTTTATTAGTTATTAACAATACAGAGAAGAACCTTAGTGTCATTGTTGTAGGTAGCACTAAGGGGCATCTTTAACAACTATTAGTGCAACAAAATAGCTGAAGTTGGTTATAAAAAAATGAAAAGTAGGCATGATAGCGCTCCCAGTGCAATTTTTCACTATCGTTTAATTTTCTAATTGGCACAACTGCTTTAAAGATATATGATGAGAACTAATACTATAAGTTGTTCGAGACATAGCTTGTATAAACCTTTGATACATATTTAATAAAAATCTGGATTAAGAGGTTCCAAACGTTTTGAAAAAAATTACCAATTTGTTGCCCTCCATCGAAAATAGATTGGAAACTGTCGTCAGGTCATTAACGACGTATGTTGGTCGTATTGTAAAAATCAGTGTTAACAAGAAAAGCCAATACAGATGAATGAATATTGTGGATATTCTAATATCACAAATTTAAAAATAAATTAAAAATTATTAAAATGGAGCATAATACAGTCCGTGTATATTTGCGTCCATTCGTTTTTTTATTTGAGAAATCAAAAACGAAAAACAAAAAACGAAAGTGTTTTGGTTTTTCATATTTTATAACTCCAAAACAAAACAACAAAAAAATGTTTTCGTTTTTCAAGTTTTTGATATCGTCAAACGAAAAACAGAAGTCTTTTTTGTTCTGTGTACATTTGCGTCCATTCGTTTTCCGTTTTAAGAAATTAAAAACGAAAGTGTTTTCGTTTTTCGTTTTTGATTTCTGACAACAAAAAATGAAAAACAATTTAAAATATTGCGTTTTTCGTGTTTGATATCATAAAACAAAAAGTAATTGCGACATTTCAATGTACTTTCTCTTTTCGATTCTGAGAATTGACACGGGAAGAGCGAAAACTCTATTCTATTATGTTTTCAAAGTAATCATTGAAAATTGTCATCATTTCCCGCATTATTCCGCATACTATCGTAGAGCTATCGTGGGCTGTAGACAGAATAGATCACCGAACTTTTAAATCAAGAAACGGTGATAGATGAAACATAAACCTCCGAATGATCTTATTTTCATCGATAATGAGGAATAAAATTGTTAAATTTTAGTATTAAAACGATAAAAAGTTCAAAGTATTCAATCACACATATTTCAATAAAGATGGTAAAAATATTCATGTTATTACCTTACCGTATTAGTAAGGGAAATTACTACTGAAAAATAGCCTGTTCTATTACCATATCAAACCGCGCTGAAGTACGTCCATTATTCATTTTTCATTATTCAAAATTTAATAATGAATAATGAAATAGTTCATTTTTCATTATTCAACGTTTAGTAATGAATAAGGAATAATGAAATAGTTCATGTTTCAGTATTCAAGTTGAAAAGTGAATAACGAAATAGATCATTTAATTATTATTTGACACTATCCCGAATTTCTGGATTTGCCATTTTTTATGTCAATTTACATATTTTCAAATTGATATAAAAAAAAAAACCAATACACTCTTTGAATTTTTTATCTTTAAATCATTTTTTTTAGTTTCAGATGTTGAACTCGTGAGTTTCCCCAAATATTTTTAACCGAAATTCCGTGTTTTAAAGTTATGAAGGACCTAGGAGC